TCACCCCCTATTACACGGTAGGTACAACATAAATAGTGAAAAGTGGGTGTTACATTGTACAATGGCATTAATTGCCGTAATGTGCACCTATGCCTACCCCTTCAGGGACAAAAAGGCGTGATGTTATGTTATAAGGAGCGCCTCCTACCATGTCCGATCCTACTATGACATCTCCACGAGGCTGATCTGTATCAATCTATTAGGTACAAAGATTGATACATTAGGTAAAAAGATTAATAACAACTAATCGCTTTTAATATTTGAATAATTTGTGTTCTATGGTTAATGGTTAACTGATAATACTGGGATAAAAGACGCAATCTAATGGAAATTTCTGCACCTGTCCCCTGTGTTTATAAAGGCTATAATATCTAAGTAGGCATTAGTCTGTCGTCGCATTACTTATTAATAATTGCAGCAAATAAACCAGTTTACTAAGCAAAACCTATCAATTGCTATATTAAAATGTAATCTGCATTCTAATTAGTTTATAAACTCGCATGGATTATCTCGAGACGACATAGTAGAGATGTCTAATTTATTGCAGACTTCTATAGACCGTTAGGATACTGCAACTGTTATTAATACAGCTATTCGAAATAGTATTGAAGAACTTTATGTAAGAGAAATTAAAAACAAAATACGAAGCATTCCCTAAATCTTCAATCCTTAAGGGCTCGTACACAAAACTGCGATGCGATACGAATTCGCAAGTTCGCAACACAGACAATTACAACACGAATTGTTGCGTTGCGATTTCGTGCGGACAAGGCAGGTCGTCGAAGGAATGGTCACTCTGGGAGATCCAGAGTGACCATTCCTTCGACGACCGTCAACCGTACTAAACGTATTTTAAATTGAGAACTAGGTCACGACATGCCTCGTAAAAAGAAGTATGCACTTACATTATTGCTTAGGAGATACAAGAAAAAGAAACAAAGAAGATTTTGGGAAGATAAGAATTTGATGCGCGATGCGAATGAATTCGCAAGTTCTTGCGATGCGTAGAGGGAGCTCGCACATTTTTGCAATGCTACGTCGCATCGCAGTTTTGTGTACGAGCCCTTTATTCGCATTTTCTAAAAGGCCTTCAACCCAGTTGTACCTTTTCTAATTTTGTGTGTCCATGAGCTTTGTTGATTGTTTACCATTAGGTGATATCTGATTGTTCGATTGCCGACCTATTCCATAAGATACGTAAGAACTACGTATCTTTTAATATGCACCCGTGTTAGCAAAAAAAGTGATTTAATTTGATTAGGCATATCCATTATGAACCAATATCGCTAAACATGTCCATACACATAATATATAGAAAAGCTAAACTATAATCACAATTACATCAATGGAAAAACGACCAAAAGATATTATATCATTCTATTAATATCAAAATGAGCTGTAATTCGCACATAATGTGCATCATCTGAATCATGACCGATCGGTTTATAATCGGCGGAGCACATTGAATGATAGGAGTAATGACCGCGTTTACTTTTACTAGTTGTTGCATACTGCGTTCCTACATGCATCCAATGACGTCATGTAACCGTAACCAATATATCAGTAATACTCCTGTATTACTACAGATGTCGTGGTGGCCCGGAGGTTTAAGACGCCCGCTTCTCATACATGAGGGTGCGGGTTCGAAACCTACCAACGGCAAGTACCAATGTGACTTTTTCCGAGTTATATGTACCGACTTTCTAAGATTATTTAGACACCACTGACAAACGGTGAAGGAAAAACATCGTGAGGAAACCTGGACTTATAATTTCTAATTATAAGTTTGAAATCGCCAACCCGCATTGAGCAAGCGTGGTGATTAATGCTCAAACCTTCTCCGTGCGAGAAGAGGCTTTGCTCAGCAGTGGGCATTTATAGGCTGTTGTTGATTACTACAGAACAAGATATTCATATTGGTGTATGGTCTACATTCATTAATATCACACAAGTATCAGATCATTTTTTTATCTGACCACTCGATTCACAGGGAATCGAAAATTCCGGATAGTGAAAAAAGAAGTTCACGTCCAATGTTAACACTCACTTTTCGTTACTTAGGTATGTCATGAGTTTGTGTAAACTATTAGCTACTGAGAATTTCGAAATTTAATGAATGCTATCTCGCAATAGTTTAGGTATTTGCCTAATTTTTATTTTAATGTCCGTCTGGTAGATTATTTCAAATCATTAGACACGTATTTTTTATTTTCTTACAGAAACGAATACTTTCTACGATATATTGATTTGAAATGTCGCGTGACGTCACTTCTTTGTACATTTTATACGTAATGACGTTTTAGCCCCCACTCCTAAACTTTGACTCGTTTTATCGTATTGTTTTATTATACGACAAAATAAAAAAATACGTGTCTAATATTTATTAATTACCTTACAGACTAATTAGATTTTTAATTTCCATACCCTGTCATCATCCATCAAATTTCAAAATATTTTTCAACAAAATCATCAATATTTTTAAATGCACCTCTATAAAGATGCAGTTTTATTTTGGAAATCTGCATACTGAGATAATCGAATGAAAACTGATACATAATATCGAATTAAATATAATAAGTTTCGCTTTTCAAATGACAAGGAAAATAAAATTCGTGAAAACTATAAAACCCCTACTTATCCATTCATAATGATCACACACTATTATAACCGGGTCACTGCTCCCTTCGGGTCTAAAAAGCCCTTTACTATGACCCCTCGTTATCACGTGTTGCGTTGACAAATGGGTTACGCCTCAAAGGTACAAAACCCTCAGGTAGGAATTCATTAGCACGTTAATTAATTGAAAGGCGGACCTGGACCTCCTTAATAACTCACGGCGTCTTTGAACCTATTTATTTCACCTATTTTTGAATTGTCTTTTTCTTGTCTATGGAATGTTATTGTTTTTTTTTCTTTTTTATAACAGTAAAAGAGCTAGAGGTCTGTTAGAACTTGGCCTAGGGGTAAAGAAACAGTTATGTGTTGTTGTTTCCGTAAGTTTGATAATTATAAAGCAAGTTGTTAAGTTTATTATGACTATAATAGTTGAATGAATGTTTTCTTATTTTGTACCTTTTTTGTTCTTAGGAGAAAATGTAAAGAATAACTTTGACTTTGGGTTTTTATCTACCTACTTATTTCTGTCTTCTTCGTTTGTAGACCAAGTCAAGTTAGTATAAATGTTATATATACCACATCTATAATTTAAAACTTTCGTGAGACATACTAAATTAATTATGATTCAGTCTCAGACTCTAGCATGGCTTAAAACTAGTCGAGTTCCTCGTCAAATAGTTACGTGAGTAAACCGAAAACACAATAGGAAATTAACACATCTCCAAAGTTTGGTAAAGCTTTTCGCCAAACATCACACAATATTTCAGTCTCATTGAAATACATTTATAATACCGACCTGGAGATAGAATTGAACTCACGTCCTCGGCTAATCGCACCTGCAACTATACCATAAATAAAGCAGACCATCTATCTGTAAATATTATTCATTTCGTGCAATGTTATCAAAAGTATTATCATCTCTGGAATATTTTGAATAAATATACTACTAACCCCATCTATGGACACGATAATGAATTAGTCTACAACGCCATCTAGTATTCAATAGCATTACTAACAGCATGATTAAAAATGTTCAGCTAAAACGCGAACAATATTTTTAGCAATGGCAACACCATTAACTTACGTCGCTTACTTGTCAATAATAGTGTCAAAAGAACTAACTTTCCCGCTCTTGTTTGAGATTAGATAAAATAAAGTCCTACCTAAGATTCTGAATTGATCTGTATCGCATTGATTACAAACTTGTTTAATGTTTTACAAGCGCAACAATATAAGAACAGTAACGTTTCAAACAAAATGCATTTGCCTGATACATAATGCATCTTAATTGCTGTTTGTGCCATTAACAGAGGTTTAACAGCACGCAGGTATAGCATTAGATACATTGAAACCATTGTTGATAATACGGATAATACCTAAGAGGTTTTGTTGGGTATGCACACTAGACAGATATTTAAACTTTCACAAATATGTAGTTACATTCGTAGTTAACTTGACGTCAGTAAAATTATCGTGAAATTTTTAAGTAGGTTACGCTTTTAACTAACTTAACTAAAAATCGCGGGTTACTCACGTGAATATACTGAGAAAATCTTTACTAGTTTTGAACTACAGATGGGCTCTTCCTCATAAGTAATCAGCGCGTTCGCGGCGATGTCACTCATCCTACTCGCTTAGCTAGTAGAGCTTTTCTCAGTATATTATTCACGTGAGTAACCCGCGATTTTAGTTAATTTAGTATGTCTCACGAAAAACATAGGTAACTTACTATGTTTTTCTCACCTGAATAGTGTCAATTCTCTTAGATAGGCATGTTTGTAACCACTGGAGAAGTATTCTAATAAAAGTACAAAGGATACTCTTCTACTGCGATGCGGTTTGTCACGAGACGGACAGTTTGGAGAAAATAGCAAAAGGTCGCTTTCTGACACGACGGTGAAACCAAATCAAAGACCAGAAGTGTTTGATTTGGATCTTCAAATCAACATCGCTCTCAAACATGCCGATGAGAATCTCGCTGCACAGACAGGACCTTAGTCAAGAAACGACGAAAAAGAGATACTACGAAGGTTCGTAACTATGAGGAGTAAGGTTATTCAATAGCTGGTAGTCACAGGTTTTATTTACCTTGAAGCACCGTTTAAGTCTCATTTTTTGTAAGATATTTCCCGGCTTCAATGATTCAGCAATCTAATAACGTACAAATAATAGACATGAAACTAGGTCAAGACATTACACTATTACCAATATCACCGCTCCTCTTAGTGGTAGACTATAAAAATTTCAACATTCCTAAAAGAATAGCCGAGATAAAACCATAATCTAGGGAATAAGTCTCATCTTAACTTATCGTTGCGTTACGCAAGATCTCGAAGCTGTCAATTCCTCAACGATAACTGAACTATCAGTCGCATTTTCTCCGGTTATCACCAAGAGTGTGGCTTATCTTCAAAAGAATACTTTTGCAATTTAGTTCCCAAGTGGACGGGACTCCACGAGACCGCGTGTTTGTGCGGGGTTGTTGAAGTTTTTAAAGTTATTGGTGTTGACGTCAAGATGGACAGGCCTAGCACTAGTCGGCAGTCCGTTGAGAAGGTGGAAATGTTCGAGGTTCGGGAGCATGTGCCGTATCAAGCTGAGTTAACGCGTGCTCCAGCAGCCTACGATGAGGAAAGTGGGGATGTGTATGACTCCTCATGGACATCCGCCTTCCGTGCTATGTGCCAGCTTATCAACCTCCTCCACCACATGCAGGTCGCGATAGTAGTGTTCTGTTTATGGCACTTCGCTCTGACTGCTGAAGCTAACGGAACCATCAGTAACTTGGAACTCCATATCATTTTTGCTGGAACTGGCGTACGTACCTTTAACATTGTATGACAAAAAAATGTTTCTCATGTCGTCACTTGTTTAGATCACCTATGTTTTTTTTTATATGTGTGAACGTGAAGTGATTTTTAACAGTTGTAAAAGTTATCCTTAACTGACGGACTGGGATTTAAAGTCGCAATCGATGTTAAGTCCTGGTACCTACATAATATGCAAGTAGGTGCCTAAATACTTATTACCTACCCATTTAAGGCAGCATGCGTAGGTACTAGGTACCTACCGACCGCAAATCTTAAACGAAGATTAAGCAATCTACTAAATACCTACTTATATGAAATACTAAATAGATAAACTACTTAACATATAGGTATATGGTAGGCTACATGCCTACCTAGACTTTGAACACCTGCCTATAAACAAATCGTCGTGGAATGTTCTCGTGCTTGTTATGACATGCGTTAACGTCAGATCGTTTACGCATATCAATACTTCAATAGCAAGCTCACTGTCTCTTGATAAGCAAAGACGTAAACGCAATGATTTGCAAAAATGACGTTGCCTTGCACCTATCCTATGTGGTAATTACTAGAATACAGCACATGTAGCTATGAATTAAATGCGGTAATTCAGCGGTCTATGAACGTTTATGGTATCTTTAATCGGCTTCAAAAAATAGGAGGTTTTTAGTTCTCAGTTTTACCTGTATTTATATATGTTTGTGCGCAATTATCTCACGATTGGCTGAACCGATTTTGATGCGGTTTTCACAAAAGTGTTTGCTACACTTAAAAGAAGGTTTTATTATTGTAGTTAACTTACTTCAAATAAAAAAGAGGGCGGTTGAAGTCGGTTTCTCTATTATTTGTGTCAATGGTTTCAATCTTGGTGCACTCCTAAACGCCACCAGATTAAAAACTGTCTCACTACTATATAACTTTTCCTCATACTCAAAAGGGATGCACATTCATCACCATTACCATGCCTGCTTAAGGTGGCTTGACGTTTTTAGTGTCTTCCAGCTTACGATTTAATTATTAGGCAGGTCAATGCATTCTACCTTCCATGTTTTGACGTCACACGCTCATAGTTGAGAGGGTCATCATCATCATCAACAGCCTACAAATGCCCACTGCTGAGCAAAGCCTCTTCTCACACGGAGAAGGTTTGAACATTAATCACCACACTTGCTCAATGCGGATTGGCGATTACAAACTTGTAATTAGAAATTATAAACCCGGATTTCCTCACCATGTTTTCCTTCATCGTTTGTCAGTGTGTCTAGATAATCTTAGGAAGTATATATAACTTGGAATAAGTCACATTGGTACTCGCCGTTGATAGGTTTCGAACCCGCACCCTCGCGCATGAGAAGCGCCTTAAACCTCCGAGCCACCACGACATAAAAGTTAAGAGGGTATCAAGAGCTAAATACGGCATCCCTAAACCCGTTTTACTTTTAACTGACATTTTATTTAAATTTTGTTTTCTATCCATTCCAGTACCAACTGTTCCTGGTAGAAGCGATATTGACCCTGCACAGACACAACTCCTGGTCATTCCAACTGTCGAAGGATGGCAAACGAATCGTGCACGGATGCTTACAGCTGATTGGATCATTATTTGTGATCGCTGGCACTTTCCTCGGACTGGCTAGAGTCGATATGGTTGTGTCAACAGCTCATGGAATTTGTGGTAAGATTTTTGCACTTAAATAGCTGTAGTACTTGCGCAGATGAGGAGTTTTTGTCCTTTAACTTAAAGATTGTGAAAAAGATTCATTGAAAATTTAATGCTGCTTTACCAAGGCCCACTATCTCATTTATTTATCTTAAACTCTCTAGAATCGGTATCGAATATGTGTAAATAATTACTGAAAAAGCACAGCACTCTAAAAGAAAAAAAAGAACTGATATCATGCAGTAGAATCAAGTTCCTCTTCTGCGCAAGCCAAGCAAATATTTTTTATAGCAGGAAATTAAATTATGTCTAACAAGTCTGATACCCTTTAGAATATTCATTACTCATTGTAAAATATCATCTGTAAGTATTAGGTACCTACTTTTCTTCTTAGGTTAAATTGCTACATTTTCTTTTAGTTGTTTATCAATAACCACACTCGAACCTACGACATCTCTGGACGTATCTTATCTCGAGTTATCAACTGTTATCTTCTATTGGGAAAACCAAATCAAACCATGTTAAGGTTACGTATTTGTAACTGCGAATTCCAATGAAATGAGTGGTTATAAGTAACGGACAGGATTTGACAGAAATTATCTCAGTAACATAATTCTGCCTGTTGATGTGGTTCGTAGAGACAGAACACAGAGATTTGAATAAGAATAAGAACGTTTATTTGCACGAAGTATGGTAATTACAGGTAATAATTATTATAAAAAAATAGCCCCACATACATCACCTACTGTTTTCGGCATGCAAAGTTAAATTATGCAATATAATAAAGTTAAAACGTTACAATTAATAGAAACCAATTACAAAGATTATTACAGATACAATATCTCTAAGTTTGTAGTCAAATCTTCTAATGTGACTAAATAGGTCATTATTGAGACTGGTCGTTATTACAAAAACATAAGAAAGAAATAGTTCGTTCCTATAACAGTTAATCCAGTATTTGGCCAGCCACGAACATTTCGGTGATAATGATTTAGGCATTACTTTTTTCTCGTCATAGTCACTGTGATGATAATAAAATCTTCTATATCTTGACAGCTCACTTCATAGTTTAAAAAAGTTGATAGTCGATAGCCACGCTTAGAGCGTTGTGTATAAAATAGACATTAAACTAACTAACAGATAAAAATGAAAAATATTGCAATAGATACCTTAACGTGGTTAAACAATGCGTTTATTGAAGGAAGACGAAGTACCTACCTAATTACCTAATTAAAGTCTAACTCTCCCGGATCTCTGGTTACCTGTAGCCTTTAGCTTGAGTTTAACAAGTTTATTGCATTTGTTGCGCCTACATTCATAAATAGAGCAACTCGCAATTTTGTGCTACAAAACATTAAAAAAAAAATTATTTGGCGCAGGCGTAATACCGTGCTTCCAAGCACCCTCCAATTAAATCACCATGACATTAAGATGATCTTTTTTTTATAAGTCAAGTAGCCAGTATGTAATCGAATCTTAACTAACCTATTTCTTCGAATTTTCAAAAGAAACTAAATAATTTTAGACTAAGGTTCAAATGTGATATTTTCTCTGTTACAGGTGTCATTGCGTTAGCATTCACCCTCTTGAGTTTCATCTCGGGTATCATAGCACTATTTTCAGCTAAAGTCCGGTTGATGGTTAGAAGTGGACCCGTCAAGATCATCCATTTAGCAGTGGGACTCTTTGCTGTTTCTATGGGCCTTATAACTATGGTTATGGGATTCCACATGGACTTCTATGCTGCATCACGAGAAGGTCTATCATCAGCCCTTATAGTATTTACCGTGTTAATATTAGTATACATTATGATCCAGCCTATTTACGACTTGATATCAACTACAAGAAAATCTATGTGACTAATGAAAATACAGGGCTCGCCAGATGATGATAGTAATGCATAGTGTAAAATTGTTTTGAAGCCAAAAAGACGAGTCTATAGTGCTGCCATATTATTTCTTTCGGTGGAAAAAATTGGAACTAAATATTAAAGCCATAACAGTAATAAAAACTCCGCTCTAAAAGCGACACCAATTAAATAACTGATCAAATAAATTGGCAGGGCTACGGGAAATTTATTTTTAAGTTAGTTTTAAGCAGTAGTTCATAAATCCATAGATCCACCAACCATACCACACCATAGAAATCACAATCATTAACATTTTCATGCACTTTACATAAATTCAAAAACGTTTCCACATTCCATATCATATGTATGTGAGGAAAGTGTGTGCTTGACGAAAACAGGTTTTTATGCGTAATTTCAATGTTACGCATAAATAATCCCCGATAACCTTTATATTAATTTATTACAATGACAATAACTTATTATTAGATAAGTAATTATTTTTATTTTTACATATAATTAAATGTATAAGATTATAAGTTAATACCTACCTTAGTCCCTACTTACGTCGGTAGGTCCTGTATTACTATTTTTATATTCATTTAGTTATAAGTTACTTTAGGATACTCTTCTTTTCTTTTTTTTTAGGTGCTTATATTGTTATTTTCTTATAATAATAGTAAGTTTAACCTAATACATGCATGTATGAGTGTTATTAATATAATAAACGTTTATAATAATCTAAATAATTTATTATTTATTTATATTTACCTTTGGCCCCCAGTAAGACAAGTAGGTACAACAAATATAATATTGTGAATATCTAATCCATTTCATTTGGATTACAGAAACTATTTAGTTTACCTACATCGCAAATTTTGTCTTATTTTAATATTTTTTGTAGTTTTTTTGAACCCAAAACTAGTTTATTTTTTGGTACTGGTAAGTTTTTTGGACGCTAAAATCAAAACTTTGTTGTCATCGCTGATGTTCCATAAATAGTGCTACCTTTAGCAATCTAAGTATTGCTATTTCACTTACACATACAACGACGGAAAGAGATAAGGCGTGCTATTGACAAATGCTATAAAACACTAAAATGGTGGGTCTGTAACGCACAAACTTGTAAACGTCAATGTCATCTTTGAATCGTCCGGCGAAGTTGCATTTTCATGAAACATTAGAAATTATTACAGTAACCAAGTTATTTAAGTGATTTTTATAGAATATAATACTTATATTGTATAAACATGGTAAGTCACCTTAATATTTCATTGCTTCAATAACGAAAAATTGGGCTACACATAGGTTAGTAATCTTGCTTGGTCATTCAATCATTTTGATTCAAAACATTATTTTCTACAGGCTCGGCGTTATGATACTCGAACAACCATTTTCTCGCCGGAAGGTAAATATTGTGGTTTATTTCATATAACACTTATTTGATACCCGTACGCAAACTAAATTGTCTTTTTTTTAGGTCGGCTTTACCAAGTTGAGTATGCTATGGAAGCCATCAGTCATGCGGGAACATGTCTAGGTATCTTGGCCACGGACGGCATCTTGCTGGCCGCAGAACGCAGAAATACAAACAAACTTCTTGATGAAGTATTTTTTTCTGAGAAAATCTACAAGCTGAATGATGATATGGTATGCTCTGTGGCTGGTATCACGTCAGACGCCAATGTTCTGACTAATGAACTCAGACTGATTGCCCAGAGGTACCTCCTTCAGTATGGAGAGTCTATTCCTTGTGAACAACTTGTTTCTTGGCTGTGTGATGTCAAGCAAGCTTACACACAGTACGGAGGTAATTGCAATTAGGTGTCCCATTCATTTTAATACATTATAGACAATTTTTTCTTTCCAATACTTTCTGTGTTCTTTAACATCATTTACCACTAGAAAAGAAGCCACAAATAAACATTCAAAATACTTCCTTATACCTATTATCTTTTGTATACACTAAAGGCTAGTATATTCAAAACTTCTTTGTTGTTAAATGCTTAATGTTAATGTTAAACTAATTTAAATTACCTACTTACTTAAAAATGGCTTCCTTATGAGAAGAAAATCAACAAAAGTTCTATGTAGCCTACAAAACCTTTTTTAGTTAGCCCACAAAGCCTTTGTAGTTTTTTTTCTAATTAGAAATGTTATTCAAAGTTATGGATATTTCCAGGTAAGAGGCCTTTTGGTGTATCAATCCTGTACATGGGCTGGGACAAGCACTATGGCTACCAGCTCTACCAATCAGACCCCAGTGGTAACTACGGTGGATGGAAAGCCACTTGCATCGGAAACAACAGCGCTGTAAGTTAAAAATAATCTTTTTTTGCAGACATATCACCAGATGGTAAGCAATCAGTGCCGTCCATGAACACTACCAGAGGTCCTATAAGGTCCTTCAATGTCTTAACCAAACTGACTAAATGAAATGTGTCCATAGTCCATATTATGATCGCAGGAAAAACATTTCTTACTCTCTAACAGGACTTCTATGATAAATAAATAAATATTTTGATGAAGTTTGTAGACAAGCATAAAGCTTATTCTCTGTATATTCTTTCATTTTACCAATAAAAGTCTTGGCATTTCAAAATGTCCATTCCAGAATGTATCAAGCATCAACCTTTATTTTTTTCTTCAGGCTGCTGTATCAAGTCTGAAACAGGAATACAAGGAAAATGAGACCACTCTTGCTGAAGCCCAGGCTTTGGCCATCAAGGTGCTCAGCAAGACCCTGGACATGACTAAGCTGACTCCAGAAAAAGGTATGTTGGAAAATCAAAGAACTGTTTCACTATGTATTTCATTTTACCTTATCAATCCCCACATAGATAGATCACTGGTGGACCTATGTCACCGGTGGATTAGCCATCAACAGTTGTGTGTCAATTAAACTGTTAATTTTGAAAATAATTAGTTTTGCTTAATTTATTATAAATGTTCACAAACCCTTATATTTTTCAGTGGAAATGGCAACATTGACACGCAAAGACAATAAGACTATTATCCGAGTTCTAACTAGCACTGAAGTAGAGAAACTTATTGCTGACTTTGAGAAGAGTGAGGCCGAAGCTGAAGCCGCCAAGAAGCAACCCCCCAAGTCGTAATTGTTCTCTTGTTCGGAATAAGTGTTCTCATATTGGTACATTAAATATTTTGCAAAAAAATCCTGGTTTTCATTTTATTCTTCAACTAACTCGCGTGCCGGCTCCTATTGATCTCAGCTTGATATTTTATAGACAATAAATAGACTAGACAACACAAAATGGATTTTTAAATATATCAAACAAGTAGTCCCGAATGTTAGCGCGTCCAAACAGAAACTCTTCAGTCAAATATCACAGAACCATGGACTTCACGATGTCAAAATGTAAAGATGAAATCTGAATTAGAGACCGACAATGGACTAGTAACGAATGTTCATGGGCGGCGCCGATCGCTTACTATCGTTTGCCTCTTAAATTCCACAAAAATTCCTATGGTATTAGTCAGAAACGGCCAGCACCGAATGATTACCATCAGATGATCTGTCTGCTAGTTTGTGTCCTTTAATTACTTGAAATTGATCATTCAATTCTTACCATTAATCAACAATGAACGACATTTCCTTTGGCCTTTTATTCGGATAGGCTAAGCTGTATTTACCCACTTCACCAATAAGAAGTCCCGTGTAGTAGTAGTAGGTCGTGCATCCTTTGCCGTTAATCGAACACGATGCAGAAACTCGTTTCTTTTTATGAATAAGATTCGATTATTTCTTCTTTCTTTTCTTTTTTAAAAAAATTGCCCCACTCTAGGATTTTCTCCTGTGTCGTGGGTGCGTTTACAAACATACAATTTCACATACACACACACCCAGACCCGAAACAACAATTTGTGGGTCACACAAAGTTTGTTCCGTGCGGGAATCGAACCCGCGACACGTTGCACGGCAGCCGGTTGCCCAGCCACCGCACCAACCGTGCAGTCAGTTAAGATTAAAAAAATAGGTTTGAGTCGATTAAATAATCACGTATAGTAGTCACATCACTAATAACACAGTCAACGTTGACAATCTCAAATAATGTCATTTGTCAATGTCAAAACACGTATTGAATTGATCAATACTTACTTTGTCAACAAATTCAAAATAAGTGAACTAAATTACAATAAAATACATTTTCTGTATGCGAAGTTAATAGATTTCTGTTCAATTGTGTAATATACATACATACTTGACAAAATGGCTGTGGAAAAGCCCGAAAAACCGAAGCCCAGCGTGACTGTTCCAAAGAAATCTCGACTAGAAATGAATGTGAGACTGCTGTTGAACAAATGCGAGCTGATGGCCAAACAGGAACCTATTGACGACAATTGTAGGCTCACGCAGTACGTGGAGGCTTTGAACGAAATGATAGCAGAACTCAAAACTAGTAAAGAGTAAGTGGTTATTCTTATTGCATTCAAACATTCTCTTAGCATGACTACTCATTTCTGGTTTAAGTTATATCCAGTTCAAAAAACCCTTCATTTTAAAATTAGCTTCTGCCAATGGCTTAGCATGCGTTCCAATGAAATAAAAAGTAGGCTATGCTATATTCCAGGCCATAATCTACTCCTATTTCGAATTTTAACCCGAACCCAATTACCGACCCAACGGCAGAACCGTTGCAACATTATTGAGTAACAACTACAATGTAAACTGAATGCTCACAAAACACTGAAGAAGAAATTGTTTTTACAATGTTATTTGTTTTGTTTTCGTGTTATTCATACAACATTAGCCCTAAGCAATTGATTACAACTATTATTACATAAAATATAAATCACATTTAATTCCTTACCTTTATGTAAATAAAACTTGTTTTTTTACCATCACCTGTTTATGTTTTTCAAGAGTGTTCCGTTTACACCCTGTATACATACAAACTTACAAACTTTTGCATTTATAATATCAGTAAGATGATTGTAGAAGCTTTAGAATGAATTAGAAATTAATATCTCGATTCATAACATTTCAGATTTGCTCATAGTGATTATTAATTTTTATACTTTCAGTAAGCCAGCAAAAGAACACCTAGCGGAATATGTGAAAAGAGCTTCTTTCTTAAAAGGGGTTGTACAAACAGCTTCGTTAAATACTCCTAGTGAAAAGGTTTGTAACTTTATAGCAAATAGTAATTAGGTACGGTCTGCCTATCAAATAAAAAAAAAAGAGAAAGAGAAAACTATAAAAACTAAAGCAATAACAGAAGTACCTGAGCTATAGCACATAATCTATTATACATATTGTCTGGACTTTAAAAGAGACAGACCTCTGAGTTTGTTTCGGCATTTCTTCTCAGAGTAGTCAGTTAGGAAATGTCGACCTCATCGTTCGCTTGATAAAATTGGCGTGTAAAAGTGCTGCCTTGTAGCCTGTTTGCAGAAATAAATTCACTTGTTTCACAATAATGTACTACAAAACAATCCTAAATGACTGACTCCTTCAATCAATAACAAGCCTGCTAAAATAATGAAATTGATTAAAATGAGACCTTCCTTTATAAATATATTTAAGCTTCAAAATCCTAATTTAAAATATTGCTCATTTAATCAAGAAGTTGTGCAATATTGTTAAGATTTCTGTTATTAGAAGATTTATAACTATAACTATTATTTATTTGTGTTACAGTTAGAAGCAGTCCAGTTGCTGTCACATGGAGCAGCCACCATGTCTGCTGATGCATCAGCTCAAGAGATACACCAGAAGACTAGGGTTAAATATGGAGTTGAGCTCAGATCTGAATTATTTGGACTAGGTTCGTGTTTACAGTTAATATTCTCACTTAGTATTTATATATATATATATATATCATACAGTGGTATCCTTATAAGAAAAGTTTTTTTTAGTTGCAAATGTAATATTTAATTACCCTCTTCCCCAATCACAAACATGCACACTACGGCACTTAATACCACTGTAAAATTGAAACGCCCACTTTTCAATAATCACGTTATGAGTCCCATGTAATTGGGGGTGAGCCTATTGCCATATACTGGGGACATTTCCAGACGCCATGCTACTACTGAGAATTTTTCTAAAAATCCAATAATACTTTGCCTGACCTGGGACCCTTTGCCTGGCAGTTGCACTTGTTCCAAATATAAATAAAAGATAACCCATTATGAGATGATTAAATAACAGAAGTACAAACTAATGCCTTTGGGTTACTCTACCTCTATAAATTTATGGTAGTCTAAGACTTATCAGAATAATAAATATTACATAAATTTTGAACTTTACAAGTAATACAAATTATTTAATTCATTCTTGCTCTTTGCTCCAATATTATTACAACCTTTGCTGAATATTCTTCTCTCCTCCAGAAGACAGTGATGATACTCTACGAAAGAGGAATATTATCAAAGCTCCAAACTTCACAAGCAACAGTAGTGGCCAGGAGGACATAGACTCCTTGCTCAAATACCACCAGAATATGCAGGAGAAGGTTGCGGAGAATATGGTGCTGCTCACCAAGAGCTTGAAAGAACAGTCTCAGATTGCCAGCACGATTATTAAAGGAGATACTGAGGTGAGATGTTATTTTACTAGATTTTTAACCTGAGACCTTAGTACGCGTTTCTTTTTCGTTTAAAGTCATCGAAACGAGACCGCGTTCTGTGTTCTGATTGGTTGGTTCATTAGAGCCGGCCGATTAGGTACACTGCCTCGTTGGCCGAGTGGTTGCAAATGCGACTGACGGGCAAGAGGTTTCGGGTCCGATTCCCAGGTAGGGCAAAGTATTACTGGTTTTTTTTTTTAATTTCAGTAGTAGCACTAAGTCGGCAATTGTGCCAAGGAATTCATTACATATATAGTGAAAAGTGGATGTTACATTGTACAGTGGTATTAAGTGCCGCAATGTGCACCTCTGCCTAGCCCTTCGGAAATAAAAGGCGTGATATTATGTTATGATGTTTGAAGTATATTCACTAGTTTGTATTTTGTTCAATGAGCTATGTTATTTGTTACAGAAATGCTACGAAAAGTAACTGTACCACATATCCTCTGTATGAGCAATTTACTTCATAATCTGAATAAAAATAATTATACTCAGCTGTTATTTTGTCACTATTTTATAGAAAATAATGTCGTAATGATTATTTATTTATATGACTCCATAATCTTAAAATATCAGTCTCAAACCTAAATACAATAAGAAAGCTAACTTTTCCATTTATCTAATTTCAGGCTTTGAAGAAATCTTCGGAGCTGACAGATCGCAACATCTCCTCATTGAAGGTGGAATCAGATAGATTGCAGGAGCACAGTAAGAGTGCTTGGAAGTGCTGGCTGTGGATCATGCTGGCTATAGTCATGGCTATCTTTATAAGTAAGCCGGAATTCCTCGTTATTTTGAATCATTATTGCTTTTTTTATGGCATAAGCTGGTAAACGAGCAAACTGATCATCTGATGGTAAGCAATCGGCGTCGCCCATGGACACCAGAGGCGTTACAAGTGCGTTACCGGCCTTTTGGGAATTAGGAATTTGTGAAATGTCGGGGATTCAGGGATTGTGGAGATTGGGGAAGGATGGCGGGGTAATTTGGGCCTCTGATACCTCACTCACACGACGAAACACAATACAAGCGTTGACGTCGGTTTTCTGTAAAAATATGTATTCTGTGTTATCAACTTTATGATCGAAGGCTATCAACTTTAACAGTCCACTGCTAGACTATGTACCTCCTCTACATAAGAGGGTTTGCCTGGAAAAATCATAATCTCCCCGCTTGGTAGAAGGCTGTAAGGGATCTCGGTTTCGAGACCCGGGCCGGGCACAGTATAGGTTTTTTTTTAAATTTCATTAGTGTAGCACGGAGTTCGGAAATGTACCCGGTATATGGCAATAGGCTCACCCCCTATTACATAAGACTCGTAACATAAATAGTGAAAACTGGGTGTTACATTGGACAGTGGCATTAAGTGCCGTATTGTGTAGCTCTGCATATCCATTCGGCGATAAAAAGGCGTTTTTTTATAGCATAAGCCGGTAAAGGAGCAGACGGATCACCTGATGGTAAGCAATCGGTGCCGCCCATGGACACCTGAAACACCAAGGCGTTACAAGTGCGTTACCGGCCTTTTGGGAATTTGGGGGTGTTGATTTTATGTATAATATATATGATGTTATTTGACTTAATATCGTTTTTTTTTCACAGATATGGTGCTCTTCATGAAGGTTATGAAAAAGAAAGCAGTCACATAAAGGTATGTATTGTAATTCCATGTGATTAGCAGAAAGTGACAAGATCATATCTAGTTCCATTATTATAATAATAATATTATAATAATAATATTATAAGTATCTAGGTATAAATTATAGGTTTTTATATAATTGCAATATTTAACTTGTAAATGTTATTTAATTTATCTGTAAGTTTGGATATAAAATAAACTTCTTTTCCATAATATTCTTTTGTATCTATCTATGTAAGAAACTATAAATTATTCTGTAAATATACTTAGTAAAAATAAATAAATAAAAATATCAATTCCGATGTCAGTGTTTCGCATCTAAATTTATTTTCAACCAAATTTTTACTTTTGTTTCTACGTGAACATGCCAATTTGGTCCATTAATTTAATACTATATTTTGAAGTAACTATGCCATTTATTTAGACATAGTATTTCTAACTAGAAAGCCAAAATTTCCACTACTCCTTATGAAAAATAGTTCACATTCTACCAGCTAAAGACGATTGTACACATTTTAATAGTGTTGTCATCAAAACTAAATATGTTTATTGATTAGTAGTATTTTCATGGACACTAAATAAGTAGGTGTACATAATTTTAGGCCAATTAAAAAAAAGAAAAGGTATGAATATACATACGTCTCTTTTGAACCCAATAAATATTTAAGACTGTATGAAAAATAAAATCCTTAATTGTTTTTTTTTATTTTATACGCATTTGATTATTAATCTGTACTCTACAGGAACTCAAAATGACCTTAAATTAGTTGATGAAAATTAGCACATCACAATATAAATGAACGAGTATAAAATTAATATTACTATGGAAGGAAATTAGTACCTTATTTTCAAGTAGGAAGACATAATATCCTTTAATGATTCCCGCGTGTACAATCGCTTAGCTTTTTAGGTCTTAAAGGTTCATTCAATTAATTATCTGTGCGTGTTTTTTGGCCCTTTAATTACACAATAAACATTTCTCTTTACTATCATACATTTTATTTCTCGTTAAATTCGCCAATATGGCAGGAACATTTACGTACATAAATATAAAGTTCAAATCTACACGGCAATTTGACTTGTTAATTAAAAATGAGTTTTATTTCCTTTATATGTAGAAGCAAATTGAAATCCTCTACGGTATTATGAAGTGAGTACGTTGAAGCTTAGAGAACACTAATTTAGATTTACTAGAACTACAATGTCTGGTTATATGTACCTAAGTATGTAGTATTTTTATTAAGAGTGTATAGTAATATCATTTTATTCCTAGAATCAATATTTATATGCATCTCTTTCCTATATTCGGTGAATTTTATTCACCGCCAAGCGAACTAAAATACTCTGAAGTTAGTTAAACATTGTTCTATATAGTTTTCTTCTAATACATTTACTTTTTATCATAAACATCTGTTAGTTCGAACTTCCATATCTTGTTTGGTCCTATTTCTGTGACGTAGAGATGGGAGCCGTTTCTTGTGACAGCCACTGAGTGGGGGTTGGTGAAGCCCTGGAAAGACACGGAATATTATATTAGTTACAAGTTTAATGTATCTATATAGCAGACACTAATTTCTGTGTGTCAAATCTGTTAATGTTTGTCTGATCAAACAGTTATAGGTACTAAAGTAAACGTAAAATGAAATCTTTACGCTCGAATAACGAAACGCTACACAATTGTAAGTTGTACTTAAATATCGTGCCATCTCTGTCATTTTATAAAGAGTTTGTAGTGACAGAACTATGCTTAAGTGCATCTTAAATTGAGTGACGTTTCAGTATTTGGGCATTATCCTCTTTAAACATGAGTCAGGTTTGAGCAGGTCTCTTATATTTATAAATCACTAGCTTCTACCCGCGACGATCCCGTTTTCTCTCGTTCCCATTAGATTTTCAGAATTTTTTTTCTATCATAAGAACCTTCTCCTGACAATAACAAACAAAATCAGCCAAATCGGTCCAGCCATTCTCAAGTTATGGCGTGACAACGGGTAACGGGTTTCATTTTTATATATATAGATGGGCATGAGTTTTATTACTGTGTCTCAAACCGACAGAGAATGCTCAATAGTTCAAATAACTTCAACTTCGCTAGTGCACTAAAGTAAAAATCTCATCGAAAGTACAAAAATACTTACAGTGGTCGGTTCCCAGGTGTCCAAGATATTCTCATAGAAAGCATTCACAGTGAAACCTCGCACAGCAATGTTCTGAGAAGTAGGTCCGTTCACAGCGTAGATTGTGTCACCATGAGACGCAACAGCAAATACCCTGCCAAGGGTAGGATCCTCAATAACAGTGGTCGGTTCATCAAACCTATCCACGTAGCTCTTCAATCCAGCCTTTGGGCAGACAATCCTCATGTTCTCCCGATCAGCCACGCAGACCAGGTCCAAATGCTCCAACAACGTCACACTATGAGGCACATTGAGGGTCCAAGATTCAGAAACTGATGGTATAGCCAATAACAGTTTGCCAGCCGCGTTGAACTTTAAGATCTGGTTGTTGCAATATCCATCAGCGACGAATATTTCTCCCGTGGTTGCGACGGCTACAGAGGTTGGCATGCATAGGTAATGGACTGGAGAACGACGCCTGAATGGGAAGCCGGCGGTGAACGCTTCTCCGATTGTCAATGTTGGGTATTTGTGGTTGTTTGGAATGTACTGGAAGAAAAAAAGAAAGTGTTTAGACAGGTCTTCAAGCAACGAAGTCAATTTCTGAACCATTAAGCTGACTTACGAAACATTTTTGTCGATTTGCGTATTAAAACCAGAAATGAACGAAATCAATGAAGGTCAAATAACCTTGAGCATTATCGTGCCCTTGAATACATTGTTTCAGTGTTCAAGTTTAATCAATACTGTTTCATCATAAGATAAATAATACGTAGCATGAATTGAATACTATATTACCTTAAAAACTTGATGTTTCGCGACGTCAGTAACCCAAACGTTATCATGATGATCCACGGTCAACCCATGTGGCATGTAGAAGGCATAAGCTCCCCAACTATGCAGTACAGATCCAGTGTGGGGATCCAATACTAGAATGGTATCCTCTATGATCGGACCTTTGTCCAGATCTTGGTAGACGTTGGATTCGTTGAAAGTGCTGTAAGCAAAAAGAACAAAATATTTTAAGATCCTTAAAAGACAGTTGCACATTTCTACAGGACCCAAGAAATAGCTACTCACTGAAGCACCAAAAATATTCAGCTTGAATGTCACAATGCTCTTTAGGAAGATATTGTTTGGGTATGGGTATCAAAGGTGAAAATAAAATTAATTATTCAGTTTTAGAATTTGTCATCAGGATTTTTTTGTTTGAATGAAACTGAGCTGACCACGAAACCATTGGAACAAGGATGTTGGTGAATAGAGAATATAAGTTTCTGTCTTTATTTCGCACTTAACATACGATCACGGAGACCATAATTTAGTAAAACACACAACTGACCCAACATATTGAATTTATCAGAGAATCTTTGAGAAATAATGGGAGAATGAGATGGTTAATCTTACCTTTCGTCCCATACTCGCTCAGCCCTGTGGAATATCACAGGTTGACCCAAAGAATTAATGGACACTGCGGTTATCTGTCCCACGTTCAGCGAAGTTTGGGGCCAGTCCTTCACTTCTTGGGGTCGTAAAACGATTTCATCCTTCGGCTGGAAAATTTTAGGAACACACTTAAGTACTAGTTTATATAACTTTATTGCTGTATAGACAAAGGTTACGTTACGCACTTATTACTTAATTTTGGATATAAAAGGACTGTTACTCACCAAATTGTAACTGAAATAGTCGAAATTATCTCTCACAGTTTCTGGCTCACAATAAATCCCCGATAAAGACAGAAGGAACACGAGTTTCGGCAACATTTTGTTGGATCCCGATATTTGTTGTGGTCCACGTATTGTTAGGGTCGGATTGCTGTCTGCTTCAGATATTGATTATACACTCTCGGACAAATCGCTATACGCATGCGCGTGCCTCCAATGGCTTCTCATACATTCTCAAGGTCAAAATTGGGGAAACGAGAAATGAAATTCATAAATATCGAATGAACATAGATTTATTTTTCACATTACTTGAAACATGTGTATTGAACGTAATTGGCAGTGTAATCGATGCCCGCGTGCTACATTTGTGGGGTTTATAATTATTTAGTGATCAAAATGTGGTGAACAACGAAATCGAGGTGCATTATCTTAGGCTAAATATGAAAATAGAAGGCGAAATTTAATTTCATTTTATACTGAATCAGTCTCAAATTAGAATCGTTGTGAGAATTTGGCACATATGCAAGGTTTTTGAAAATTTTGTTGAGACTCTCCTATATCTAGGTAACAAGCTAGAATGTTTTGTGTTACAATAAGAATTTGGAAATACGTTTAGATGTTTATTGGGCTCACTACTGCGGGCGCCATTCTGAGTGGGGTTGATCCCAGATGTATCCGGTCTCTGTCATGGAGCATATTGCGTTGTAATAGCGTCCTGGGCTTCTGCAGTAGGACCATGAGGGACATTTACATCGGAACAGTGTTTGGAACTCCTCTTTGCAAACCTCGTTCCACCAGCATGTTCGCTACAACATTATATTGGTTAGAATTTTCTTGACATTATGAAGAATACATGGAAAGATCACTTTTAAAGAACAATACCTCAGTGATATATCCTCTCACGGACTGGTCTGAATAGCTTCTTTTGGTTATCGATGCAGTTTCGAGCATTGCACTCAACATAAGGGTTAGAACGAACATCACATATTGCGCCTGAAATATTTAATACACGAACACTTTACTCACTAACACATGTTTTAAACACTCCTATAATATTTTTCTTAGTCGTCTTACCTTAATCATAGCAGAGATTTGGTCCAAAAATAGAAAATTATCGGGCGGCGTTGCCTTTCATTTCCACGCCCCCTGACGGAACTTTCGGTGTTCCGACTAGGGTTGCCTATTCTCACGTGCTTTATCGGTATGTATTATTAAACGCGCGGCGTTTTTATTGATTTGTGTCTTACAGGTCGACGTAATTGGGTCCAGTTTGGTATGCTAGTATTTAAGCTAAAGGATGTGTTGGTGGTTTGATCCTTTGAGTATTAAAGGGTCCTAATGTTGAGTTTTAATTAGAGTAAAAGAATATTGGGGTTTTAATTAAGTTCTTAATTATTAGAATTATTAGCCGTGGCTTTTTCCTATGGCCAAAGTATTTTATGGAACTAATTGCGAATAGAATTTAAAGTCTGATTCTGACGAATAAGTTTGTATAAGTAACAAAACAAATTCAAAACAACGTTGGTTTTAATACAAAATGCAAAATAGGAGAAAAAGGTATATTACTTACAAACTATAAATAAAATAAAATTTACAAAATCACTAGCTACTTTAGACTCACTTCGTGTTTCCTAACTTACAATAAAAGTGACAACAAAGGTGAGCAGAATAACATTAACACGTAAAAATAAAATTAATTAAACAATTAGAATAAATAACGAATGATAAAGATTTTCAAAAGAAAATAAAAGTAATTCAACTAAACAAATAAAGGCGCGCGCAGATGATGACGTTCAAATAGTGGAATAAAATAAAAAAAAAAGAAATTTATGCAAGCGTTTGATTGCGCGATGCTATTGTATAACTATTTGCTCGTCATCGTCTTCGCGTGTCTCAATGGAATGGCACTTAGATGTAAAAATAAATAATTTTTAGTACAAGTCTAATTACAAAGAGCTTTGGTCGGAACTACCACTACATTTTGGGATTCTTTCGCTGGCTTCATCAGCCGTAGTTTCAATGACATCACTAAAATTGGTCTACATTGCTTGCACATCTTCTATTTTGTTTTCTTCGACGTCTTCGTGTTCTTGTCGCCTATGCATGTCCTCTGCATCTTTCCTGTAAGCAACACCATCATAAAGTTTGAATCACTACGAGATACCAATTATTTTGTTGTTTTATTATTAAAGTTTTCAAATAATTGGTTTTGTCAATGTTCATTATCACAATTTTATATGGCAAACTTAATAATACTCAAAGCAATATTAGATCACAACCATACTCACGAATATTTATTAGAAGATTGGAAAATACTCTTGGGACATAATCGGTAATACGGCCAGCATTCACCACCTGATTCCCCGGCCTTTTGGGCTTCTACGTATTCATCTAATAGGCTTGCGTACGGTGACTTGCTAGGTCTGAAATGGGAACCAAAATTAAAATTAAGCACACTTGTTGGGAGATCAAGCATAAATTAATTCTTACAAGAACATCTTGTAATGTTTCAAAAATGATTTACATGTATTTTATTTATATTAATTATTGTAGAGTCTGTAATGATCATCAAGGAAATTAGTAGTCAACCTGTAATGAATTTCATGAGCACTTAAAATCTCGTAAATGCTAGAATGCAAGTCCAACACCAGTTTATCCACAACTCTGTAGACGTCAGTTATTCTGTCCCCGATAAAGTAGCATCCGGTTACACTGGAAGCTGACCATATCTTAGGAAATAAGCTGATAATGCATCCTATTTTAAATTCCATTAAGCAAGAAACAGGATTTTTAAATGATCAATAAAAATACGTACGTAAAGAATAGTTTCATGACTTCTCCCAGAAAACCAAAATTTTTGAGAGGATGTGATTGTATTTCACATATAGCTCGTAGGAGACATTCCTTTCCTGATAATCCGAAGTTAGCAAATATGTCCTCCGCTATTCCATATAATATTGCTCTGAAAAATATAAAGATAGTTAATAAATAGTTCTTAGAATACAGCTGTTACATTCTTTTGTAAGTAACAAAGATTACTTGTTACAAATAATGCTATGTGTAATCTAGACCAATCTACATTTTGTTCCTATTTAGGATGCTATTGGTTAACGGTAGCTATCTGAAAGTAACATGAGCTATTGTTTATTCAATTAAACTTTTATTTTTTGCTCCAATTCGTGAATTAAAAAATTTCTTATGTAATTGGAATTAGTTTTCGAATCACATAAACAATTTGAAACACATTTTCGTAGTAACTTCCTGCGTTCGTCGCCAACAGTCCTTCGTGGGTTGAATTCCTGATTCAACTTGAAGGTGAAAGTGACAACCAATAACTTAACCGCTACTGTCTAACCTCCACGTGGTCAGACCAATAGGCATACGTGCTAACGGCTCTCCTGTGTGGTCCCTTCAGTACCTTTGTTGTTTGGTCTTCTACCACTTTTATTAGTCAAACTTCAACTTGTTTATTGAGAATTCCATCAAAAAGGTAAACTAATTTATCAATAGCATAAAACGTCAGTCGTCATCTTACCTCTCTCCTCCATGTAATCTATCGAGAATCGCCTTTTCAACATCTGGGGTGACATTTTCACTGGTAGACCGTTTGCCTCGTCTGCGGTCCAAATATTGTCCCACATAATCCGCCATCATGGAAACCGCCGCTCTTCCCATAGATCGGGCCAAAATAGGCGGAAATGCTCCGTAAGGATTCTCATTGTCCGTCAAACCAAGTTTGTCAAAGTCGACTGGAATTTGTAAAATAATTACGATTAGGGCCTCTATCATGGAATTAGATTTATATTAGTAGATTAACATAAATTACATTCGTCTACATTAAGTACGGTGAGGGCACATATTTCAGTGTAAAGCAGGGATTGACAGGGTACATTATAATACGCACAAAGTATACAGTGCCTTGTACCACATTTTTTTATTATCAGTTCTAGGTATCAGTAGATGATCTGATTGCTATAGATTGGTTTATTCCAGACTCCAAGCTACAACTGAGAATATTTCTGGATATAAATCAAATCTGAGTCCGAGACGCTCGGAAATCACACTTACGCTTCCGACGCAGTCACTAATATTATACACACATCTTTAAATATTAATTTAATACGCTCTTATTTTTTAAAGAAATGTATGAGTATTTAAAAGTATATTACAATATTCTAGGTATCTACATTTACTTCGCTAATTAATTTAACTGTTTCTGTAACACTACTGTCTACGCCAACTAAGACATCACTAACTAGTCTAAACTCTAATTTATTATCTACGGGTATTTTATTACCTTCTGTTTTATCTAGTTCTACGCAAATATTTAAAATACTATTTATTTCTAAGTGTTCTATCATTCTACTTTCTCGGATTTGTGAATCTTTTCTGGAATAATCCAATCGCAATTCCATTGTATTTCAAAAAAACTTTAGTTAAGAAATCTGAGAAAGTAGAAATTGACATACTAGTACTACTAATTACTTACTAAAATAAGATACAAACCATATTAATCTAGTCCTTTGTGGTCAACAGTAAACCTAGACTTAAAAATAAAAATATTCTATTTTAAGTTTTTATTATTGTACTTTATACATCTTTACTAAGTATCTAGAAATACACTATGACAGCTACTCTACTAAAAGTTGAATTTACTGACTTTTAAACTTCACTTCGTACGTCAGGTCAGCTGCAAATTATCGAAAGAAAATTCTTCAGTAAGTTATTAAAAATAAAAATGATAAATCCCTACACTGCCTACACTATTTTACTTGTGGCGATGTCATCTTTTTATACAAAAACGCAGCTACATATTTATCTAGAATCAATTTAACAAGTTTTACAAGATAATAGACAGCACGAGATTACTATTCAATCTACTAATTTGTACCGATGGCTCTACTGCCATTGCAGATTAAAGTACTGACTTTTAAATTTCACGTTATAATAATTCAGATCAGCTGCAAATCGTAGAAGTAATAAAAGTGTACCTACGACTAAGCCTAAGAAAAATTTTACCAAAAGGAGTGTCAAATTTTGTAGTATGTATGTATCTGTATCAACCTTTTATGATAGAAAGGATGTAGGTATAACGAATATGGTAATGAATGAATACGATTCTTTAATCAAAAAAATATAATAAGCATTCGTTAAAATAAAATATATTTTTAAAACTTACTTGTAAAAGGGAAACTGACTGTCATATTAGACAAAAATCCTTTCGGTGGATGCCTGACAAATGGCATCGACAGTGATGGTGTGATGGTCATTGTAGTGCCAGGTGGTAATGCCAACCTGCCATCATTCGTGATCCAGAGTATCCTTTTCTGTCGCGAATGTGGGATGTTCTCTTTGGCCACGCCATCATGGCTGTTTAGCGAAGCCATCGGCAGCAAAGCTGCTAATGCTATGCTTAATATTACACGGGGAACTGATGCATCCATCGCCTACCTAAGAAAGATCATTCATTAGATTAGTATCGCAACTTTTGCAAGTCACAAATAAAATAATGAAGTATATAAAACCTCATATGTTAATACGTCATGCGCAACAAAAACGTAATATCTTAAAATGAGACAATGTCATTCTGACAATACGAGAGATACTGCTAATATTATTTGTATATTTATTCATAACAATATTTATCAGATCTGTATAATGCTATCAAAAAAGTGTACTCATATAAGAATCAGAGATAGTAACGACTATGATCTCGATATTGAGCGTTTTATAAAATCGTTAGAAAAAGAGTATAAGGTCGATTTTCGGACTCTACCGAGATGGGAGGACTTGGTACAACGTTTGCATGTTTCATCCACCGATTGCAAACGTAAAATTCAAGATGCTTATCGACGAAAGGCTTTGATAGTACAGAAATTATATATGCAATCAACTAGACCATCTCCTTTTCAGTTAACTGATGGTTTATGTAGAACAGCCGACAAGTGGAGTAAGATGGAATTGGATCGAAAAAGAACAAGAAAGGTATCAGAAGTTCTAACAAAAGATGTATGGTCAGAATCAGTTCCAATAACTGAAGAATTTTCAGAAACTTTCCATCCAAATACTGAAAACATATCATTGGAATCTGGAGACAATGCTGAAGTTGTAGAATCGAAAACTAACATTGCAATTCAAGCGGAACCGTCAATAGAGTCAACTAACTTACCTGATGTCATAATTACTAACCCTCACAAACTAATTTCTCCTATGGGATCACAGTTCTCTGGTTTAAGTTATAGGTCACTTTTTACTGAAGGTACTTTGACAGGTAAAACAGAAAGTGAGAAAGAAGAGTGGCAATGTTTCAAACAGACATCAGCAGTTAAGTGTACTCCATCACCGATTTCTCTGACTAACGATGCTCTAAGTCAACAAGTTATTAAATTCACGTTGACAAATTGTACGTGTCAGTCTGTGTTCGTTCGATTAAAATACATTTTGGATAAGTCTTATTTTCGAAAAATCAAGATCTTACCAATTTTTCAAAAGAAGCTGTGCCCTGGTTTACCTGAAGTGTTTACATTGATATTTAAACTTGTAAATCAAGAAGAATTTAAAACAGGCATATATTTTAAAATTGGCTTCGATGTTTACGATAATGTTCCTGCAGAATCATTATGTGTGCCAATAATCAGTGAGTTCACAAAGGGCCGATGTGTGATAGTATCTGAGAACATAAATATACCGCCTGTTTATCCTTGGCATCTAAAAACAAACGATCAGTATTCTTCTGAATATATTCATATAACTCTACGTGATCCATTTCCATATCACTTACATATTTATAAAAGAGTGATGGATTTAAGTCAAGAACCAATAGTTACTATACAAGCAGACGGGGTAAAAACCGAGATTGTTACAGAGAAAATAGAACAAAAGGTACAAACGGAGACGGTGGTAAATACTGAGGTAGTTACGCGTAAAACGGATAAGACACTCGACACTCATAAACTCGATAATAAAACAAAAGTATCAATGCATTCGCATTTTCTACCTGAAATTTCATCGGAAACAAGAATGGCACAAGAAGCCATGGCTTCTATTGCTCAGGGTATTATTGAACTTGCTTTGGATACTTTTATGCTTGAATCAACGTATTTGTATCTGAAACCCCATGAAATAACAAAAATTCCGGTGTATTTTACAAAAGTTGAACATACTGGCTATCACCAAAGTTATTATGATTTTCTATTCATTGATACAAAAACAGAAGAAGTTGCGATGAAGAAAATCGTAAAAATCTACGCAGAAGTACTTCCACATCCAATAAAAGTGCAACCTGTTATATTAGACATGTCTAAATCATCAGTTAAACATGGTTATTGTGAAGATATTTTCGTAGTTAGCAATACCCACAGACTATATCCTGCTATTGTTAAAATTAAATTAACTACGAAGATGAAAAAAATGTTTTACGTGGAACCTATGAAAACTACAATCCCTGGATCAGCCTCCGTGCCATTTTCTGTGAAATTTTGTTCTAGAGATTTCTTATCAGTCAAACCAAGCGAAGATTTAGTTCATTTCACGTTCAAAATAGTTATCAACGGATACAAAGCAGTTTACGAAAATATACCACCGTACTTCTATGAAGTAATTGCACCATGCGCAGTAGAATTCAAAAAGGTTTATAATGAAAAATTCTTTAAAGAAGAAGGCAACGATAATTAAATCCAGACCTTGCATTGATTTCTTTATTTTTAATTTGTTAGATCTCATATTTTTTGTATTAGTGAGTTATGATCCTTTTAAAATAATAAATATATTTTCCAGATTTCTGTTTTTTCGTCTTTGTCACTTAAAAGGACCACTTTGACTCTCTAATGGATCTGGCTTAGAAAACTTGTTAAGAATCCCGGGAATACTGAGTAATGTTTGACAAGGATCAAACCTGCTATCGTGTCCGACTTGTTGTATGTAATACAGGTCAAGTGAGTTGATTGCCTGAACCCGCATAATATCCCAGACCAGATCTACAGGTCGCACAACCGGTTCAATATGACAATCGATTATAAATCAACGACAGTTTTGATAGAATCGATTGTGCTATAACACCTTTATTATGATTCGATATCACGGTACCTGTCGACCTGCCAATCGTAAACTTTATGTTAAATCACATTACCCAATCGCTTAAATCATTCTTTCATTAAATACTTTATCATACTACTGAAGACGTTCGGTAGCCTTAAAATCATCTCAACAAAGTGTAACAATATAAACGAAACCTTACCCTGCATTTAAACTAAGGCTATCAGCACTGTTTATCACATTTTCTAATCGATCACCTTTTTTATTGATGTTAGTATTGTAAACACATTTGCAATTCACAGCACGTGTGTCACTTCAGAACGATTGTATGCTTAAGTTCTGCGTTCAATCGAATTGATTATGTATCGAATTGTCATCAAGAATTCATTTAGCATTCACTCGATACTTTCACATTAAAATTGGTTCCTAATCTGATACATGAATTCTAAAAATAATGAGTTCAATGGCTATAGCTGCATCGTTTGCTATGCTCGTAAATAAATGTCTTTTTTTCTTTGAAAGCTGATTTTGAATAATTAACCTCTTTATTGCTATTTGGCCGTCGCACTTGTTTATTTAGATTACATTTTTATTTTTGTCACCTTAGTATTTTTTGCTATTGACGTCTTTCATTCTATCTACATTTAAATGGCAGTTTACATCTTATTTTGAAATGGCTTTTCTGTAGTTGAATCAGACTATAAACACTAACGACTCAGCTAAATGATTTAATATCAAGACACCGCTACTGAGATTGTACCATTCGTAATAACTTGATGGATGTGTGCAAACTTACTGTTATGTTACTTTAGATTATATCATAATTGACTTAGGAATCGCAGCTATTTCTTAGATAAAGGAAATCACATTTTTTTGCCCCCTACGACTGATTGTTGTAAAGTAACAAGCAAACGATCAAACTGAAACATTTACAATAGTTACCCGGAATATTTCTGCAATGTTTTTCCAAAATTCAAAACTGAAAGTAGCATTGGTTACAAAGAGAATACCAATTTATAATACTTTCGGGTCATGGCTCATAAGATTTGCAAGTACGAAGAGAGCGTTATTTAAAGATTATGTATGTTTTTGCAATGTTCGCTAATTTACATGAGCACTTTCACATAGAGTTGACATCAACAATCCTGATTAATTAGAACTAGTCAATTTGAATTATGCTCATTGTGCTATTTTGTTTTTACACTTTTTGCTTCAAGTTCCAACCTCAATGTTTATCTATTAACAAAACCACACTGGTTAAACACAGGTGTTTTTCGTCACACAGAATCTAGGCTAGGTTTAACATCTAGTTCGACAGTAGCAATTCCAAGATGTACAAAGAGTTAAAGCTGGTTGTGGTCCAAATCACCACATTTCATCTCTAACAAATGTGTTATTGTTTTAAGTCGTGGAACGTTTTATAGCACCGGCATGATTCTTATAACATACGGCCCGACCTTATTTAGTGCCGCTGTGGTTTGGCAGAACTGATGTCCCACTTCAGATTGTCGATTCTATGGGAAAATGCAATGCAATTTTATAAAATTGCCTTTTTATGTCATTTTGCGTCTATATTATCAGGCACTTCCATTAACTCATACTTCTCAATCATCTCGAATCCCAACTAGGTTTGTTACATCTTTTTTCAACGATTACGCTAAATTCTAATTGCATTGTGAATCACTTGATGAGTTTCAGGTTAACAAACTTAATTCTGCATAGTCTATGTAGATGAAGTTGAATGAACTGTTATTATTTCTAGAAGCGCGCTGTCTTGGCACGCGTTCATTTTCAACAAATTAGATTACTTATTAAAAAAGTTGCAGTAAAAAATCCTAACTAGGTAATCGTTTGCACACCCAATTATATCTCATATTTTTAAGGAATATAAATAATTCATATTTTTTGGCGCTCGTTAAATAAAGACATGCGTAAAGCTATAAATCAAATTCGTCCATTAACACAGTTATAAATCGTTAATATTCATTATTCGCAGTGCGTGTGCTAAACACTTATTGCCATGTAATGTGTTAATGAATCTGTAGCAATTTGATGAATGGCTTGGACATGCCAATTTAAATAGAATTAAAACACTGACAGATCATAATAAACCAGGACGAATCTAAGTGCGCACTTTGTGTGACACTTGAAACAGGATTTAATTGAGGCCGCATTTAAATCACTCCTAGGAATGTGATAAGGTGACAGATAACCTATGTGAGCAACGTATAATTGAGAAAATATTGTAACGGTCACTATTCAAATGGAACTTACCTTAATATCACAACAGTTTTCAAGGAATAAATGTTCATCAAAGCACCTTTTGCTTCCTTGTGGAACTATCGTACACTATCAATCACACTATACAAATAAATGTCCTTTTCTTGCGATCATCGCAAGATGTGTTAGCTGATTGCGGGTCAGCTGCGCGGGCGTCGGTCTTGCTGTGCCGTTGCCAAAATTTCGCTAACTTTCGGGCACGGATGTGCATAACAAACACTTTTCCACGAAAATGCGTCCTCCTTCGATATAAACCGCTTCTGATTTCTTTTTGGTATCGACACTGAAGCGTGTTGGTGCGTCACGTTCGTCCTCGAGCCCTGGGACGTCTGTAATTTCTTCGAGTGGCACAATATCGACGACGACTTTGTATTCACATGTCGCCGAAACTCTCTTCGCTAATTGTGATGCGCGGCGCGTCCTTCGCTTTCCGCATTGTCGAACAATGGAGCGTAGCACCCCGGGGTGACAGGTGGGTCCACATCGCTTATGGTTGGCCCGTCATAAGGTCGGTTGTTTAGTGGCGATGTGTTTAGTAATGAGAGTCAGTTAAGTATCTGGTTGCGAGCGCTGGCGCGGCGATACCGGTACGGAATGGAGGCTCGGGCGGGTGTAATCGTTCGACGTCGCCTCGCCAGTTGGCCACTGGGTTAGCGGTGTTCCTTTTCCTGCTTCGTTTCTTAATGGGTAGCACACATAAGTGAATCTGATGCGAACCAGCCCTTCGCACCCGCGCCGCGATGAAGGTCGCTCTCGCCGCTTTATTTTTGTAAACAAAGATATAAAAGACCGTTAAAGATTTATTTGTGCAGCTTTACTGCCGTAACCAGTTACCAGGTTAATATATGTATGTATTTTCTGATTAGATTTACCTGTGTCTAATAATAATAGTTAAACGTTATTATTAAAAGAAAAATTACTTTATGAGAGTATTAATTAGGTACTTATACTACTATTTTTGGAACTTCATTAACCTACATAGAAATTAGAATGTTATGATAATGTGTTTGTGTAAAATGATCAATAGCTGATTAGAACTAGGACTAGATCAGGTCAATCAGATTACAAACATCGACAATGGACTCATTTATTGTTATTCATGATTTTATGTTTCTAAACATCCAGTTACAAAAGGTATTTTTTTTCTCGTTGCACTTTCTCCAATCACCCGTCATCTCAAAATCATCTCTAGTAATATAATGTCATAGGTAATGTCAATGCGTGGTAGGCAGGTTGAATACAGCCGTTTAAAGGCCAGGGTTATCAGAAAGTCCACGGTCTTTGTCAAATGTGTAGTACCGTAGTCGGCTTTTATGACTCATACGTAATGTACACCTCTGCCTACCTCTTCGGAGATAAAAGGTTACGCCTTTTATCTCCGAAGAGGTAGCAGTGATGTTATGTTAAAAAATAATCTGGAAACAAATACCAAATGTAGAGCTTTTAAACATTTTGGCCTGCAACTGAAGGATAACAAACAACAGCAATACAAATGAGATGGTCATTCAATTTCTCTAAGGATGAGAAGAGTATCTACAGAAACTGCATTAGGAATATTATGATATGACACATATTTAAAATTATATGAATAAAAATGAATAACTGTTCGTTAGTCTCCCTAAAACTCGAGAACGTCTGAACTAATTTGGCTAATTTTGAAATTGAAATGTTCGCTGAAGTCCAGGGAAGGTTTTAAAGGTTAGAAAAAAAAATTTAGGCGGTTCGAAGTTTGCCGGGTCAACTAGTAAAATAAGCCGTAATAAAAAAGTGGGGCATCTTTGTCAAAAATAAAAATGATGAAATTTCAATGATTTTAACAGACGCGGTTTAAACCAGTGAACCGATTTTGATCGATTTTGTTGTAGAAATAGGTAGGACGATGCTCGCCTGTAACAATCGTACTTTTAATGAAAGTGCTTCTTTAATAAATTGATTGGAAAATATGCTATCAACTGGAGCGAAAATAGATATGACACGTTCAGAACAGAATTAAGAATTATAGTTAGAGAGATGACGACCAAAATTTTTGTCTCATAGCAATACGGCCAAAACCGCCTCAAATCGATAGATACGATTATCCTGAACTCGAAAATACCAATATCAGACATTTTCCGCGTAGCGTTTGATCTGACCACAAAAACACCACAAAAAATGTCTCATAGCAATACGTCTGAAAACCTTTGTTATTAGTAAATTTTGGTTATTTGATGCGAACAAAACAATTTTCAGACGGAAATGTGAACGCATTAAATTTTGAGACCGTTTTGAAAATGTTAACGAATTTTACCGATCGGTATCATGGCAATATGTCTGAAAATTGTTGGACATGATAAAACAAGTTGTCCACATGTGCAAAAAATGTATATCAGACAAAATAAGTGTAGCACCTTTAGACAACTTTTCGATACTCAGATATTTTTGGCACAGCAGAAATGGCCTCCCACGCAGTTGCTACACTTTCGACCGTTACTACACACCTAGTCGGGTTCAGAATAATACAATCTAACGATTTCATAGGGTTTTTGCCGTATTGCTATGAGACATGGTTTTGATCGTCATCTCTCGTACTATTAATTCTGAATTCTGCTAAATGACCTTGATATGATATGATAAAGATTTAACATATCAAGGTCATTCAGCTAAACAACTAATTGTTCTCATAAAAGATATAATATCAGTAACATACGTATATTAATTACACTTGAAAATGTCCAATTACATTATCAAATCATATTCCGATTACATATAAAGAGAAGAAGATTACACATAGGGAAACAACAATGAAAGTAAAAACAAAAGAAAATGATACACATTGTAATAAAAGTTAATTGTTATACACAATCAAAGTGTTGTCATAATATTGTAGTTCAGAATCGGGACGGAACATTCGTGCGGGTCCAATTACGTAAATTGCATAAAGTTACTCAAATGCGGTAACTTCAAAACTGTTTTAGGTCGCGATTCCTTTCGTGGACCGCACCTCATTTATCGAAGCAATGCTGTGGTGCCGAACAATGGAACGAAATCTTCGACAAACGTTTCAAATGATGTAAACTATTGTTGTTTGTTTTTGAAGGTTTAACCGCAAACATATACGTGCATTACCTATGTAGGCAAATTACCTCTGCACTGCCTTATTGCGTAAAACAATGCATAAAGTATTAAGTCATTGTAACCGACACAATTTAAGTGTAGGAGAGCTATGCTTCGGCACGAATGGGCCGCCTCGACCGGAGTGATACCACGGCCTCACAGAAAACCGACGTGAAACAACACTTGCGTTGTGTTTCGTCGCGTGACTGACGTTACCGGAGGCCCAATCACCTCCCTCCCCCAATCTCCGAATTCCCAACAATTCTCAAATTCCTAATCCCCAAATGGCCGGTAACACACTTGTAACGCCTCTAGTGTTTCATGTGTCCATGGGCGGCCACGATTGCTTACCATTAGGTTATCCGTCAGCTCGTTTACTGACATATTCCAATAAAAAAATACAATCCTATTACCTACATTTTACAAACGTCATCCAAATAAATCAAAGTCATTAAGTCGGATTAAGCTTCCTTTTTGTAACACTCTTTTCAATATCAATATTAATTTGCACTATTATAGATTAAATATTTGCACATTGTTTTTAGATTGACATGACGTTAATGTACACAAATGTAAGTAGAAACTCGAGTTGTAGCGCCCTGTGTATAAATAATGTATTTTACAACTTCATTGTCATGGTAATTAATTTGGCCTGCATTTCCAGGGTGAAACTCGGAAAGCTGACTTAGTATGCAAGACTAGGGCCTCTTGTTCATGACCTGGATTATCTAGGAAGTAATTTTCATGAAATATGAACAACATTTTAATAACAACGGGAAAGAGTCGAAATTCCATCGCATTGTCTTGTCAGGCCATCCGTGTCAATGAACGTGTCAAAGTAATATTTTTGTTGTTAGAAATTCTACTGTACGATTATAAATTTAGAGTTTCTGTCACATATTTTCTGATTACGATGTCTGTTAAAGTTGGATAAAATCTGTGCCAATGTAATTAAATGAGGAGTTAGAGAATAAGTGTGAATTTGTTATGCCCTGAAGTTGGATATGAAAAATCTTTAATTTTCTAATATATTGTTGTGAAATTCGTCATGTTAGGGCAATTTTCAGTACGGTACATAGACAGAATGGTAAATCATGATTTAGACTTTTAACAACTTTAGAAATGGCAGGTTATCCCAATTTTCTTTGGGGACCTAAACGATCGTGTCGAGCATAGAAATAAAATTATTCAAGTTCAATTTATTCAGTTGTGCAAACCTGCTTTAATTTAGTAACTAAATGTGAGGAAGTTACCAAACTTCGATTTATATAAGCGTATGCTATGAATGCACCAAAGAGCGATACCTGAAGATTAACAAGGGACATATTGCCTTTCCTTAATACGATACTTAATGCAAAAAGCCAGTCATCAAAATGCAGTATCTTAGTAAGCTTTGTTTCAAATTCTACTCATGGCTAAAGGGAAAGAGACTGATGACAATGCTTTTTTAAACGATACTCGGCAACGACATGGCGCCTACAGTTGAATTGTAAACCCGAGTTGGTCTGTAAGTGTTCCGCATAAACAAACGAACATGAATGATTTATGTTTAAATGAAAGCTTCTGCGATTTTGTTTAAGGTCTTATATTGTGTAAACGCTGAAAGTATTGGCGTTTTCTTTTTTTGGATCCGGGATATCGCGCCAATATTAATGAACGCACATGATCACGTGAGAAGCTAGCCTTCTCTTCTCTATATCTTCTTGGAAATGGTATGTAGAAATATATTACTAACTAGCTGTGCCCGCGACTTCGTTCGCGTAGAATAGTGACTATGAGCAGCGTTTTTTTTTATAAAAAATTATAAATATTTACTTATTTTTATTTTAGATTTGGATCATAATCACAGTCATTTTACTGTAATGCTTCTCTACTTTACTGTAATGCTTCTCTATATACAATATTAGACGTATGGCCATCGGGGGTGAAAGCATACAGGCTGCTGGGATTGCTAACACGGGACAGAGCCACATACAATTGACCGTGCGAAAAACAGCTGATACTTAGATCTATACCCACAACTTTTAGAGTCTGACCTTGAGCTTTATTAATTGTCATGGCGAAACATAGGCTCACTGGAAACTGAATTCGTTTAAAATTAAACGGAAAATTTTTTGGAATGAGAGGAATCTGAGGAATAAAACCACTATCACCTTTTCCGCACCCTGTTAAATATATATATATTTATAAGCCATTTCTGAGATTAGCGTGAACAGACAAACAGACAAACAGACAAAAAAAAAGTTAGTTACATTTTTGGGTTCGACATCGACATAACAATAGCCCCTGCTATTTTTTTTATTTTTATTTTCAATGTACAGACAGCACTTTTCTACAATTTTATTATATGTATAGAAGATATAGATAGATAGTGTTCGACGTGATTCTTTAATTTGACGTAACTTTTTTATTTATGAACCGATTGACATGAAACAAACACTAAAGCATAACTGAAGCATACCACAATATATTCGTGAAA